GAGGGAGGAACCGCAAAGTCATATCGCTCAAGGGCGTTAGTACAGGGAGTGAACAATTGCAGGCATTTTTGCAAACAATCTATCATACCCCTATTGTCCAAATAATATTAATAGTAATGTTAATTTTAACCATATGATATCACATACATGTGGAATCTAAAAAAAAGAAGACACAAATGAACTTATTTACAAAACAGAAACAGACTCACATTCATAGAGAACAAACTTATGGTTACCAGCGGGGTAAGGGGGTAGGTAGGGATAAATTGGGAGTCTGAAATTCTCAGATACTAACTACAATATATAAAATAGATAAACAACAAGTTTCTACTGTATAGCACAGGAAACTATATTCAATATCTTGTAATAGTCTTTAATGAAAAAGAATATGAAAGGGAATCTATGTATGTATATGTATGAGTGAAACATTATGCTGTACTCCAGAAACTGACACCAAAACTGACTATACTTCAATTAAAAGAGAATGTAAAAAATTTTTTAAAAATAATGTTAATTTTATAATGTTAATAACTGTTACTTTTTTTAACCCAACCCCCTGATCAACGACTATACATTAAATTTAGGTGTGTATCTTTAGTCTTTCTTACTCTTTTTTTTAAGTTTTTAAAAAAGCCTCTCCTCTTTTTGTGTTTTATGAAATTGATATTTTTTAAGACTCCATGCCTGTTTTCTTAAGAATATCTCACAATCTGAATTGGTCTACTTACTTCTCCATGATTATTTTCAGGTTAGCCCTTTTTGGTAAGAATTCTAAATAGCTCATACTGTATACTTTCCATTGCTTCACAAGCGGAGGCACATAGTGTTAGTATACCCCATTATTGGTGATACTCAGTGTAATCACTTGGCTAAGGTGGTGTCTGCAAGACTTTGCAATCATAAAGGTGCCATCTCCTGTAGGTAGGTTTGTATTAGGTCTGAACATCTTGTGCTGAAGTTCTTCCAATCACATCAGCATATACTTACTAGATACCTATTGTGTGTCTAGTCTTGAATTTAGTGCTATGGCAAATCTAAAAGATGGTAAGGGATGTTGCCTGTTGGAAAGAATATATAGTTTGAGTTACTCTTTTAAAAACTGGACAGAGTACAGGAGTCGTATAATGATTGGTTTATAAAAACTTTTTGCTGAAGTGTGATGTACGTGCAGAAAAGTGTATAGCTTGATGAAATATAAGTGTATAGCTTGATGAAATTTTCAAACTATACACACCAGTGTAATAATGCCCAGATTAGGAAACAGAATATGAGCATATCTCAATAAGACTGATTTTTAACTGCATAGAACTTATACCCAAATGATGGTTGTCTTTTTCAATACCAATTTATGAGTGGCCTGAGAAAATAAGTATCATTTTAGGCTCAAAATGGTGTTATCTAACTTGATCACTCTATGTACCCATCCAGCTTGATTCAGAGTATCTTTCAGAATGTCCATACACCAGTCTCTCATCCTCGATTCCTGTCCCAGAGCAGAAGGTGACACCTCTCCTTTCCCAAGGGTAGCCTTTCCCTCTGCATTCTGTCCCACCCTTCTTGACTCCCCAGAGTCTGGTCCTCTCGGTTTCTTTCTTGTATCTCCTCCATCTGTCTTTTGTCTTCAGCCTCCTCTTTTGGTTCTTGCTCCTTAACCTTCCATTGTATCAGTAGTCCTTCTACTTCTCCCCAGGCTGCGTTTGTCCCTCTCCTTTTTATCCCCAGACTTCTTAAAAGACTGCCTCCTCTTCCTCCTTAACCTACTCATCCAAATGCCTTCTGCGACTTGGTTTCTTTCCCCACAACTCTAGTGAAGTTCATCAACAAGCTCCGAGTTACTAAGTCAGCCTTTGTTCTCTGAGATTTCTGCTTCCTGTGGAAGTCTTACTCGCCTTTTCTTTGAGATTCTCTTTTCCCTTGGCTTCCATTTATTGTGTGCTCTTAGTCTTCTGCCCCCTGCTCTGACAATCCCTCTAACAGTTTTGACCTCCCAAAGAGAAAACAACAGTAATTCCAACTTCTTTTGGTCTGTATGAGAGTGACATTTCTTAGAACCTTTTTCATGGACTGTGGTTCATTCTGTTGGCAATTTCCCTGCAGTTTGAAGATTGTGGCTTTAATGACAGATTCTTAATTAAATGGATGTAAATTCTCTATAACCTTAGTTTCTTGATGCTCTGCCTGGTAGGAACTCAGTAAATGCTTGTTGGAGTCATTTATTCATTCAATTTTTCATTGATATGGCAATAAATATTTATTAAGTGAATTGAATTGTTTGTGAAATTTAACAGTTTACATTTTTTCACATTGTTGAAATATAGTTGTCTTTATCTTTAAAAGCCTTTGTTGAAGTTTGCTTATTTGCTTATTTTTTTCCTAATTTGAACAATTACTAGCTGTATGACTCTTGGGTAGTTTACTTAACCTCCAGAATTGATTTTATAATTTTGTATACAGGGTATTAAGTGCCGACCTTCTGGGCTATTGTAAGGATTTGATGGCAAAAACGCACACAACTCAGAGAGCACATACCTAGCATATAGTAATGGTTCAATAAATGTTAGTTGTCATTATTATTCTTACCATAATGTGCCAGACGCTGGACTCAGGTCCTTCCAACAAGCATCCTAAATTAGGCATTGTTTTTCCCATTTTGCAAAGAGAGAAACTGAGACAAAGGGGATTTAAATACGTTGCCAAATGTCACAGAGCTAATAAATTGCAGATCTAGGATATCTGATTCTGTAGCGTGTGCCTTTTGCCTACGCAGAAAGCCTTTCATCATCTTGTATGACTCTTAGCAGTAAAGTAGGAGTCACTTTATAGTGAATGAAACAAGCTAATACTGTTCTTATTTACCTTCTAGAAGATAGGACATACCATGGAAGCTCTGCCCTGTTTGGCAGACTCCAGTCCTAAAGGTCAGGTTAATAAAGATTTTTATATTAAAACCACAGAATTCTAGGGCTTGGAAAGATTTTAGGTTTAGAAGATTTACCCACCAGTTATTGAATTCCATAACAATCTAGCCAGGGGGTCATCTGGTTTATTCCTTAAGACTTCCAGGGACAGGGGAGTTGTCATCATTCGGGGTACCTCACTCCACTTTCCACAGCTCTGACCATGAGACAGCCCTTCCTTACATGTAACTAAGTTCTGTTCCTGTGTTTCCTGTGGCAGTGATGGATGGCCATGAAGTAACTAGAACCCCTGTTTCTTAAAGGCAATCTTTCAGATTCTTGTTATTGACTCTCCATTTTCACCCCCAACTCCTTCTCTTCACCAGGTTAAGTAGCTTCAAGCCTTTAATTCATAACTTCCCCTGCATGAACACAACTGGGTCTACTTTTTTTCCCCTTCTTGGTGTGATAGGAATAAAATGAATGTCTATCTTATGAGCATTTTGCTTTTCATCTAGTCTTTCTCATAATCCATGGTACCACCATCTACCCAGTTGTTCAAGCTAGAAACCCGGGAGTTTATTCCCTTCCCCATTCACATGCAGTCCACCAGCAAGCCTGTTCAGTCCTGTCTCCAAATGTAAAATCCATCTCTACTACTATCATCCCAGTCCAAGCCACCATCATCTCTCCCCTGATCCCTAACTCTTGCCCCCACCCTGCACTCCCTCCTCCACAAAGCATCCAGAATGGTTTCTTTAAAGCACAGAGCAGGTCACATCACTCCTTTAAGTCAAACTCTTCTTTGATTTCCCGTTGACCTTCCAACAAAATCCAAACTCTTCCGTGGTCAGCGAGGCCTTGCCTCATCTCATGTTCTTTCTTCCCTGTTGCTCATGCAGCCTCTGTCCCTGGCGTCTTTCATATTCTCTGGACACGCCAAGCCTTTTCCTGCAGACGGCGTTGGCCCCTCTTGTTCCTTCTGCCTGCACTCATCTTCTAGTTTTGCAAATGCCCACCTCATTCCCATCTTCCAGGTCTCAGCTAAAGTGCTTCAGAGCAGCCTGCCCTGATCCCTCAACCGAGGTCCTAATCTCATCACCCAGTACCTGTCTTTCTGATCACCTCATCTTCTGTGCTCATGGGAATGTAAGTCCTTTGGTGACTGGACCTGCACTACATGTTAGCAGTGGGATCTTCTCCCAGTGGCATAGTAGCTGTCCAGAGAAGGTGCTCGGTAGATATCTGAGGAATAAGTGCATGGCCTCATGATTGAACGTTGGAGTTCTATTAAAAATGCATTTGAATCTGAGCTTTGCCACTTTCTGTGTGACTTTGAGCAAATTGTGTTACCTCTCTGGTCCTCGGGTGGCTCATCTGTATGATAGCCATCTTATCTACCTCACAGCATGTGGTGAAGATTAATTAAGATATTCTGTATCTTGTAGTAATCTGTAATGAAAAAGAACGTGAAAAGGAATATATGTATGTTCATGTGTGACTGAAACATTGTGCTGTACACCAGAAATTGACACGACATTTTAAACTGACTATTTCAGTAAAAAAAAAATTAATAAAACAAAAACCTCCAAGGAGGAAAGAAAAAAGAGATAACATCTATGAAGGTACTTGCCACAGTACCTGGCATGTATTAGGTGTTCAGTCCTCCTCCAATCCTGGTGCTTAATTGTGAACATGTGGAGAAGAGCTCTGTCAAGTTTCAGCCTGATTAATGGGACTGTATGGTGTGCCTGTGTGTGCGTGACCCACAGGCTGGGTGTAAGGTGCCTGCGACCCCCCCAACCCCAGGTAACACTTACCTGGCTGGGAAAACAGTTCCAACCCTGGATATCAGCTGTTGTACTGAGTGATGCTCAGTCTGATAACCCAGAGGTGCTAAGCCCAGGGCTTTCACTGGGCTGCTGAACACAGACCCCAAAAAACGAAATGAGCAAACCTGACACTGTGTGGCCCATCTCTCGTCAAGATGTAATAGGATGCTCTGTCTAGACGGTAGTCTCCCTTGGGAAATCACAGTTGCTCTAAGAGAAGGCACATGGTCTCCTGTTAGGAATACAAAATAGGCCTGTGAGCTGTTGATGGGGATGTGGGGGGCGGGGGCTCGCTGTGAGGTGTGTGGGTCTACGGAGCAGAGCCTGCGGAGAGGAGCCGGCGGCTGCGCCATCGTGGTGTTGGCCTTCCCCTTCACATGCACACAGTGTCAGCAGAGCCCATGCTCTGTGGGAGGTGGAAACAGCACTGTCAGCCTTCTCAGAGCCGTAATTCCGTGCTCTCATTGAGGAGTGCTGGAAGGAACTGACAGGTAACCCTGGAACGTGGATTACCTGCTGGGAAGGGGGCAGAGGTCTCTGTGCAACTTGCTTGTGCGTAATGGCCTCTGTGGTTCCCCTCTGTAGGCTGTCAGGGTGAGTGTTTTCACATGGGGGTGCTCTAGAATTAAGTAGACCTGGGTTCCAATCCTGGCAGTGTCATGACCTTGGCCAAGTTACTTAGCATCTGGCTTAGTTTCCGCATCGAAAATAGGGATGATAAATGACCCCTATCTTGTCTGGTTGTTGTGAGGATTAGCTGATACAGTGTGTACAGAATCTTAGCTTACTTCCAGGCACACAGCTGATGTTCAGTGAATGATTATTCTTCTTATTAGGCCACACAGGTCAGGATTTTGAGTTTATTTCTGATCAGCCTCACCCATGTTGAACTTTGAGTCTTGCTTCCCCACTTGCCAGCTGTGTGCTATCTAACCTTTGTGAGTCAGTGTTTTTATCTGTTAGATGCAGTTTATAAATCCCACCTCATAGTCGAAGTGGAATGAGATCAGAGCGTCTGACACATAGTAAGTGATCAAAATATTCGTTTCCTCCTCTTTGGTTCCCGAGTATCTGAAAGACGGTCCCTTTAAGCATGTTAAGATTCCTCACTAGCCTTGTATGCAGCTGTGTTCAGACAGCTTTGGCAGAAGGAAAGAGGCTTTTTTTTTTTAAATGACTGTTTCATAATCTGTTGGCTCAGATCTGCTGCTGCCACACCCTGTGCTTCTCAGGGTCCCTGGGTCCTGTTGCAATTAGCATGTGCCTTCCCTCTCACCTAAATGACCCTGGAAAGTGGCTGAATACAAAGTGGATCTTCCTCCCTTCTCTTTGGGGTGAAGCTGGCCCGGGGATTCTTAGCTGCTGGGGGAGGGGCTGGCGGGAGCCTGGGCTGCAGTTGGACTGAGCGGCCAGGCGTTTTCTGGTTTTCATTAAAATTCTCTGGCTGTCTTTCGGGATTGCTCCATTGGCTGTGACTACGCACTGGAGCCCGTTGTGCTGGCTCTCAGCCGCACACACCCATCAAATCACAGTGGCCCTGAGGACGAGAGAAAACTGCAGGTGAGGGACAGGCTGGCTAAGGGGTTTTGCTCAGCAGCCTTTGTGATAAGGAACGCCCATCTACAAGTGCAAAACTTGAGCTTTGCAAATCCTTAAGGACCAGTGGGGAGGCAGACATAACTGAGCTGGGAATGGGTAGCAGGGAGAATCCTCACTCCTGATGACAGACTTGCTCCTGGGGGCAGATTGAGGTTTCTGGGCAGCTGTTAGAGGGTCTCCAGATGTTTAACGAATGAAATCAGTCTGTTTGAATCATTTTCTGAGATGCTGATACCCTCATAGGCCCAAGGGGTTGGGGTTAAATGGCAGTTCTCTGAGAGGGATAGACTACATTAGAGTAAAGATTCATTTTTTTGTTTTTGTTGTTGTTGTTTTTATTTCTATTGAAGTATATAGTCAGTTTACAATGTGTCAATTTCTGGTGTACAGCATAATGTTTCAATCATACATATACATCCATATATTCATTTTCATATTCTTTTTCAGGATAGGTTACTACAAAATATTGAATATAGTTCCCTGTGCTACACAGGAGGAACTTATTCAAATGTTAATTTCAGATAGCTGAAGAAATCTCACTTGAGATTGAAGCTGAAATCTGAAAACCTGGGTTCAGAATCATGACTTTGCTATTGACTTGCTTTGTGACCTTGGGCAAGTTACTTCCCTGGGTCTCAGCTTCCCAGTAGGGTTGTGAAGATTAAATGAGATAAACTATGTTAAACTCTTGGCCTATGCTATGTTCTCTGTAGATGGTTGATGTTCATATAAATTGGGCTTGATTTGACCTGTCCCTCCAGCTCACCAAGATACAGCCCAGTTCTGTCATCTGAAACATTTGTTCTGCATCCTTCTCAGCTTTGTGTCTTTTAAGAATTTGAGGCAAATGTGTTCCCTAGGGCAAGCTGAATCTCCTTTCACTGGAAAAATACATCAAAACCATATTATTATGTTTCCCAGTGAGAGGTTTACAATGTTGGATGATTCATCTTCATGCAGCTTAGTAGAAAAAAAAAGTTATCTATTATTCTCAATAATGGATAGGTTGTGAGAATGCCGTTTTAATTGATCTTGGATATAAATGTCCTTGATAATACACCCAAGAGAGCATCAACAAGGCTCCCATTTGCTTTCAGAATTAACTCCACTTCCAGTCTTTTCTCCTTTGACTCTGCTCTTCAAACCCTGTGTTCTAGCTGCAGTGGACTGCTCACAAAAAAATAATTAATATGAAACCTACCAAACTTACTGAAAAATCCTTTAAATATATATTTATAGTTAAAAAGCAATAAAGTGAAAATTGTGTATCCACCATCCAGCTTATCAAATTGAACATTATGGGTCCCTTAGAAGCTGCTTGGGACCCTCTGTCCCAAAATCCTGACCCCTTTTCTTCTCACTTGAGGCTGTGGTGATCCTGACTCTTATGTTGATCATCCTCTTACTTTTCTTTATGATTTAACCACTCATGTTTGTATTACAAAAGTATACGTTGTTTAGTTTTTTTAAAACAAAGGAGCAAGCACAAATCTAGCAAGCTTTGTTAAAAAAAAAAAAGAGCAACATTGCCACTAGTAGATGGAAAAATAAATTAAATGGACTCGGGTTCATAGCCTGGCTTTAGCTGCCCTGGGGGTTTACTAAAGGTCCTAATGGGGAAGTCAGTGTGCAAGGTTGTGAGTGAATCCCAGGAAAAACAAGGCTCACCACGACCTGGGCATCTGATGGGGCTGTAGAGTGGGCCAGGTCCTGGACATCTGGTAGCAATTGGTCACAGAGAATGGACTGCTATATCTTTTCTCTTCTTGGTTTCTTGGTGGCCTACCTCCAGGTCTCAGGGAGTAGGTCAAAGCAAAACTCTTCCATGGGATGAAGTGAATGCCGTCAGCTAACCCAGATGGCCGGCCTGGAGGGGATGAGCAGATGCTTCATTAGCACATGGTCAAGGCCAACAGAGTCAGAAAGGAGTCTCAACCGAGTTTACCTGTCATTCTTGGTCAAGTCTTTTTAACCTCTTTTTGAGAGTATGCAGTACCACCATGGAATATGTTCACCTTAAAGTTCACTGCTAAATCAATCAAGCCTCCAGAAGTAACTTTTTTCTTCCAAATTTATTAACTTATTTCAACATAATGTTAATAAATGAATCATATGTTAACATAAATAAAAACTGTGTTTTCCAAAACAAAAAGAAATTGGCCAGAACACATTGTTACAGTTTTGCAAATTTCTTTCTTTTCTTCCAGTTTTATTGATATATAATTGACATACAGCACTGTGTAAGTTTAAGGTGTACAGCATAATAATTTGATTTACATACACCAGGAAGTGATTTTCACAATATGTTTAATGAACATCCATTGTCTCGTTGAGACATAAAATCAAGAAATAGAAAAAAATGTTTTTTCTTTGATGAGAATTTTAGGACTTACTCGGTTACAGAGCTAACTTTGATTTATTGGAAAGATGGGAGAAAGGATGACAAACTGAAGTACACTCTAAGGTTCAGGATTAACAGATACACACTACTATATATAAAATAGATAAACAACAAGGACCTACTGTATAGCACTGGGAACTATATTCAGTTTCTTGTAATGAGCCATAATAGAAAAGAAAAAATATATATGTATGTATGTATATGTATAACGGAATCATTTTGCTTTACATCTGAAATTAACACTGTGAATCGACTACACTTCAATAAAAAATAAAAATTAAAAAAATAAAAAATAACACTCTAAGGAAACAAACATGAATTCAGAGTGTTGGACAACTGACTTGGCTTCTGCAGCAAGTCAACAGCATGAAAAAAAAATTAATGTGACTTAAAAATCATAACCAAATGTGGATGTATGAACATTATTTTGATTTGGATAGTCTATATAGTAGTTTGCTACAACTTTCATAACTGAGTATTACAGACTGGCTAGCTTAAACAACAGAAATTTATTTTCTCATAGTTCTGGTAGCTGGAAGCCCAAGATCAAGGTGCTGGCAGGCTTGGTTTCCTCTGAGGCCTCTCTCCGAGGCTGGCCAACAGCTGCCTTCTGCTGCCTCTGCACATGGTCATCCCTCTGCACACATGTGGCCCTGGTGTCTCTCTGTACGTTCTAATCTCCTTTCTTTTTATCAGGACATCAGTCCAGGTAGATTAGGGCCTACCTTACAGGCCTTATTTTAACTTAGTTACCTCTTTAAAACTCCTGTCTCCAGTTACAGTCACATTCTGAGATATACCAGCGTACAGAGTTTCAACATATAAACTTTTTTTGAAGGGTGGGAGATACAGTTCAACCCATGACACTCTAATTATAAAAAGGCATTTTTTAGATGTTGGGGAAATTTTATTATGGACCAATATCAAGGAATTACTGTTAATTTTTCTAGGTGTGATAATAGTATTGTGATGTTAGAAAATGGGAACATAGAGATAGGTTCTGGAGTATACAGAGGTGAAATGATGCTACGTGGAATTTGTTTTAAAATATTTAAACAATGAAAAAACAGAAAAGAGGATGGACTGTTAACAGACCAAAATGTTCATAATTGTTGAATCTGGGTGATGGGTATCAGGGGCCTACTTTTGACTGTGTTTGAGAATTTTATAATCATATACTTAAAATATTTAGATCAACACCACCAAAGAGGGTTTAATGGCAGTGGGTTTGTTGGTGATGACTGTCTTCAACACGTCTGCCCCTTGAGTTACACTTCTCTGGTCTGGCTGGCTTCTTCATGTGGTATCCCTCTTGGGGTCCTCTGTTGCATGACTCTACCAGGTCCTCTGTTGCTCGTATATAGCTTGGTGAAGGACATCCTATGGGAGCTTCTTAAGAAAAGGTTCATGGAGTTTGAATTTCTGAGATCTGAGATACCTGAAAATGTCTGTGTTCTATTCTCATACTTGATCAACAGTTTGACTGGGTTCTTAGATCTCATTCTAAGTTGGAAATCATTTTCCTTCAGAATTTTAAAGATATTGCTCCAATATCTTCTTGTTTTTTACTGATGCTGTTGAGAAATTGGAAGCATTCTGGTTTCTGATTCTTTGTACATTCTGTTTGATTTCTCCTGACAGCTTATAGAATTTTCTCTGTCTGCAGTTCTCTGAAATTTCACAGAAATTTCATGCTGTCTTTGGTGTGCTGGACCCTTTTACCTAGCAACCTGCACCCCCCCAGTTCTTCCAAGTTTTATTGAATTACTATATTGTTATAATTTTTCTTTTTTCTATTTTTTTTTGGAAATTTCTCTTTTTCATCCCCCTGTACTGGTTCTGTGGAATGTACGTTACTTCTCTCACCTGTTTTCTGTATCTTTATTTTTTTATTTTTATTCTCAAGACTTCCTCAACTTTATCTTTCAATCCTTTTATTGAGTTTTAAAAATTCTGCTATTAAGTTGTCAATTTCTAAGAGCTCTCTCTCTATTTTTTTTTAGTGTTTCCTTTTTATGGGATCCTATTTTTGTTTCATGAGTACAGTTTTATTTCATTTTTGTGAGAATATTAATGGTAGTCCGCACCCCACTGCAGAGTAGCTGTTTCCTTCAAGTTGCTTTTTTGTGTGTGCTGTGGTCTGTATCTTTGTTAGCGGCTCTCCCAGGATGTCAGTCTGAATGTGATCCTTGGCTGTGTTGCTTCTGATTAAGTTTGGAGCGTGATGGGGTGGATAATAAAAACTGTTGAGACCTTGACGTTATGGTAAATGAATGAAGCCACTCACAAAATACCACATAGTGTATGATTTCATTTATATGAAATGTCCAGAATAGGCAAATCTATGGGGACAGAAAATAGATTAGTAGTTGCCTGGGGCTGGAAAGTGGGGGGGAATATGGAACGACTGCTAATGGGTATAGGGTTTTCTTTGGGGTGATGAAACTGTCCTAAAATTGATTATGGTGGTGCTTGTACCACTTTGTGAATATATTAAACACTACTGAATTGTACCCTTTATTTTATTTAATTTAATTTATTTTTGTTGTTGTTTTTTGTT